CTGTTAGTCAAGGAGTGACCTGAGTTTAGCTAGTGGCTCAGACGTAATTCATTGTTGTCATTAGCAAAACTGTCATTATTGCCATGTGTTTTAATAGGTTGAAGAAAAGCAGGCCAAGCGCCAATGGGCATGGAAAGCCACCGCTGTCGGATGCTATTGAAATAAAAGCACAATGGCCCATAGGGGGATCAAACCCGCGACCTTGGCGTTATTAGCACCACGCCCTAACCAACTGAGCTAACCGGCCCAAACTTGCAGAGAGAGGGCCAGCAAAAGCTGGCACATGGCTATCTGGGCTGTGAGTAATTCTTTGGGCAGCCACAGAAGCAATGACACAAGAGCAGGAAACAACTGGCCCCATGGCATTTCAGAGACCTTGTGGCGCAACATCTTACTCCAGATCAGATGGTTGCGTGTTCAAATCACGTCGGGGTCATGTTGATTTTTATCGCCATCTGCTTAGCCCACTTTCATAGAGTGTTTCTACATCCCAGGCTACTGGGAGTGGACCCAGGGGCCACTCACCTCTAGACTACCCTCGCACAGATTCCCTTATAGCTTGGCCACTGGCCGGGAGGAAGCTTGATATCTGGGTGACAGTATTGAGTGCAGGTTCCCAAAGCCTCTCATAGGCAAGAATGAAGCAATTATAACCTGGGTCCTAACAAGGTTATGAAAAAAAAAGAAACAGAGCCACCCTAAGAATTATACGATTCTATGGGAAGTTTGTGATGAACTTTGCTGCAATTGCAGCTCCAATTAGGCTGGTCTCATCTCCAGTCACCATATGCCTGATGTTCCATTTCTGATTGCACAGTGCACAAATTTTAACATGTGTATACATAAAAGGAAGTGTTTTTGTACATTTCTGAGCGGGTGCGTCAAAAGCGATCTGATAATGAAGGAAAACTGCTTTCCCAGAATTATTAAGTCCTAATATGGGTCCCAGAATTATTAAGTCCTAATATGGGACCCAGAATCCAGAGGCTCAGAGAGATCTTGGGTGGGAAAGAGCCTCCAGTCCTGATTACGGGTATTTTGGTCCTTTTAATCCACCTGTAAAAGAGGGCTGAAAAAGGTAGGTAGCAACCTCCAGGGGTCCATGAGGTGTTGAGTGGAGCTGGACACAGTTGGAAGAGGACTATGGGCTGTTTGGTTACTGAGAAAATGCTGAACTGTGGTGACTGTTTCTTTGGACCCCTGGAGCAGGTGGGAACACTGAACCCTGTTGTGGGACAAGTTTATATGGTCAATGAGCCAAAGTTTGTTTTTGTGTACTGGAGTGATGGACTGTTTGTTTTTTTTTCATGCTGAAAAGAAGCTCTTTTCATTTGCCTTTTTGAAAAGTAAAAACTGCTTGCTTTTTATAAAGCCAACTGGCTGGTGATCTGGTACCCCAAAATAGCAAACACTGTAATATAAAACACATGCACCAGGCAGATTCACCTGCCGTCAATGTTTGGCAAATGTTACATTCACTGGTTTGTAATTATACCTCCTTAATATGAATGGTAAAAAATAAAACCTAAAATATATGAAGTGTGACAATTTAATTTTGGGAATAAACTGTTAAAAAATGCTTTCTTACCTATACACTAGTGGCTGTTGTCACCTTTCACAGTATTCCCCTTGTAAAGTGATGCATTTTTCTAGACGACTGTGCCAGTGGCGGAAACATTCCTGGAATTCACTTTCCAGAATGCTGCTCAGTAGCTCTGTTACAGTGTACTGGATGTCCGGGATGTCATTAAATCTGTATCATTATAAGGATTTTTAAATTTTGGAAACAGTCAAAAGTTGTAGGGCGCTAAGTCAGAGGTTGTTTGCCAAGTTTTGGAAATGGATTTCTGGACCAGGAACGCGTGAACACTCATAATGTGCAGGAGCATTGTCGTGGTGGAAAATCCGCTTGTCAGGCCAGAGTTCGCACTCTGTCCACATTTGCATCCATCCTTGCGTTTTTGGCTGCCCACTTCTTGCGTCATCATGGACATCTTCCCACCCCTCCTTAAACTACCTATTCCATTTAAAAATGAAGTTCTTCATGGAATGTTCACCATAAGCCTGTTGTAACAGATTTTCAGAACAAAGTTTCACTCACACTTTTTCACACAAAATTCAATGTTAATCCACTGCTCCAGATTCCTGTCTCTTATTTTCCGTCAACAGTGCCTAGGGTACACATGTTATTTCTTCTACTACTCCATAAACACTGGTCCACTGGTCTGCTACCCAGGCGATTGCAAGTTAGAACATGTGAGAACATGTTCAAGTGCGAATGGCTACGTGATTCACCACCATAGGGCTATACCGCGGGAATTCCGGGAATTACATTGTCACACATCATGCTTAACAAATGATACAGAGGAGTGAGTTAGGGCTGATACAGGTTAATAAGGGTAACAAGACGGTAAATACGAATGTTTAAAAAATGATGTTTTTAGGTTGCTTTTTTAGCATGACTCTTCAGTTTAAGAGTTTACACCTTCAGAGTTTGAGAGGACATCTGACACTTGCTGCCTCTGCCAACAGCCTGAGCTTACAGTTATTTAACTGAGTGGTTGGCAACTTACAAAGTCGAGAGGGCCTCAACTGAGTCCTGTGTGAAACATTATTTATTCAAACATATTTTTATACAAGTTGCTTTTTTGAAATTTTTGCTGCAAACATGTTGGATTCTCTATTCCAGCAAGCCCATCACTAGCTCTGCAGCTGTGGACTGTTCCTGTTGATAGAAATGATAGATGGCTTCCACCTCTGCTACCAATGAGAAAGGGGAAGGGTGTCTCTTCAGGTCTATTCACAGCAGACCCAGTGGTGTATTTAGGTTTTGTGCTGTCCTAGGCAACACAAAAATTGTGCGCCCCCCCCCCCCCAATGAGAGAGCGAGAGAGTTCAATGGGTTTGTGTGTGTGTATACTGTATATATGATTCTCTCTCTCTCTCTCTTTTCTCTCTCCTCTCTCTCTCTTCCCTCTCTCTCTTTCCTCTCCCTCTCCCCCCCCCTCTCTCTCTCCTTTCCTCTCTCTCTCTCCCCTCTCTTTCCTCTCCCTTTCTCTCTCTCTTCCTTCTCTCTTTCCCTCTCTCTTCTCTCTCTCTCTCTTCCCTCTCTCTCTCTCCCTCTCTCTTCCCTCTTCCCCCTGTCTCTCTCTCTTCCCTCTCTCTTCTCTCTCTTTCTTCCCTCTCACTCTCTCTTCCCTCTGTCTTCTCTCTCTTTCCTCTCTCACTCTTCCCTCTCTTTCCTCCTCCTCTCTCTCTTCCCTCTCTCTCACCCCCTAAAAATTGCCACCCAAAGCAAATGCCTTGTTTGCTTCACAGTAGATACGTCCCTGAGCAGACCTGAAAATTGACTATCACTCACCCCCTCCTGAAAAATGGTATTTTAGCCATGCATACAATATAAAAAAAAGAATACAATACAAAACCCTGTGCTATACATCATAATGAACATTTTCCTCCTGGAGCTGCTGAATGCCGGAGGAAGGGAGGGGAGGAAACGCCGGGTTCAGCGGTTGCAGGAGGGAAGCGGAGAGGATCAGTTCCTGTATATGCCGTCCCTGCTGCCCCAACTGTCCAAGTGTAAAACAGAATGTGTTAGGGAGGCCACACAGGCACCATGGAGCATGGGGTGGGGTCGCCATTGTGACCCCTGAAGCTACGCCATGGGGGGGGGGGTTAATACCCTGACCTTCATTTCCTCTTCCAGCTTCTGCTGGCATCGAACTTCAGGCTGCTAGAAAGGTCTCAGGTGCAGTGCACTTGGCATCACTCCATCTGGGACAGAAGCCGGCGCTACAGAGGAAGCATCAGCTTATGCAGCTCCTGCTTCCTCCATGGACAGCTGCTTTCTCCACTGCCAGCTCGATGCACTCTGATGCACTGGGGGGGGGTTTAATACCCTGACCTTCATTTCCTCTTCCAGCTTCTGCTGGCATCGAACCTCAGGCTGCTAGAAAGGTCTCAGGTGCAGTGCACTTGGCATCACTCCATCTGAGACAGAAGCCGGCGCTACAGAGGAAGCATCAGCTTATGCAGATTCTGCTTCCTCCATGGCCAGCTGCTTTCTCCACTGCCGGCTCGATGCACTCTGATGCTCTGGGGATGGCGAGTTGGCAAGCCCAGATCATGATCAATGGGTTTTCGACCCCGGGTATGCGCTTCACTGTTTTGAGGTTGCAGGCCACTTCAGAGGCCTCTGTGGGCCAAATGTGGCCCACGGGCCACGGGTTGAGCACCCCTGCTCTACATTGTCATTAGCACCTACTCAGCGATGAATTATTCTAAAACAAAGCAATTGAGAAATCTAAATGTTCTTAATAATTAAAATAAACAATACCAACAGTTTGCCTTTAAAGCCCAACTTACAGTAAGTTTAGCACCATTCTTCCCCTTTCCTGAACTCCTCACACATCGTCATTTGAAATAAATTTTGTGTATACATATTTCAATTCTAGAGGACTTCTTCCTATTTATGTGACAAGAAGGGCCCATTTTACTACTTCTCTAGTAGTAGTAGTAGTTGAAGTAGGAGATAAAGTCCTAAAGGTCAAATTGGGCTTTAAGTCCTACGTTTATCTTTTTATCTCCAGGTCATGGTTATGAAGAATCAAACAGCAGTTACAGAATTTCTCCTCTTGGGTTTCGGGGACCTTTATGATCTCAAAATCCTACTATTTGTTCTCCTGTTGGTCATTTACATCATGGCTCTGACAGCAAACTCCCTTGTCATCATCTTGGTTATTGTCAGCAAGAACCTACATTCTCCCATGTATGTCTTTTCTGAGCCAACTGTCCTTGTCTGAGATCCTCTTCACCAGCAATATTCAGCCCAGTATGTTATGGTTGACACTGGTAGGTGGTGGAAAAATACCCATCACCAGATGTCTTCTAAATTTCTGTTTGATCGCGGTATGCGGAATCACTCAATGTCTGCTTTTAATCTCCTTGTCATTTTTGACCGATATGTGGCCATTTGTAAGCCATTACATTATACTTTGATTATGACATCTAGACTTCAACTTCAGATTGTCACTTTATGTTGGTCAATGGGATTTACGCTATCCTTTGTACTATATGTTTTCTTGCATAGGTTAGAATTCTGTGGTCCAGACACCATCAACCATTTCTACTGTGATGTCCCTCCTGTTTTAGAACTTTCATGTTCAGATATTTCTTCTGCTAAGCTGGTTACTTCCATGTTGTCTGTTCCTCTTGTTTTCTGTCCATTTGTGTTTATTGTTGCCACCTATATTTTCATCTTCCACACCATCCTGAAGATGTCCTCCTCCATCAGGAGACAGAAGGCCTTCTCTACTTGTAGCTCCCACCTCACTGTAGTTTGCCTGTACTTTGGAAGCTTGGCAACTGTATACATTTTTTCACCAAAAAGCAGTTCCTCCAACACAAACAAGTACCTGTCTTTGATATATATCTTGGTGACACCATTTTTCAACCCTCTCATCTACAGCTTGAGGAACCAGGATATTAGAGGGGCCATTGTACAATATATTCACATTTTAGACTCATGCTGACTGAAATAGAGATTCTTTAAACTATTTTCTTAATCTAATGATTACTTATAAAAGGACAGTCCATCCCAAACTGATATATTAGATTATAGTAAATGAAGTGCTAAACCCCATGAGTTTTTCTTATGTATCTCAGGGACCCTATTGATAAGATATCCGTGCTACGTTTCTAGATGGAGTCTGTTGTTGACATCATTGCATAACCGGAAGTCCTCCCAAAGCCATTTTTTTACCTGCTGGAGATTGTATTATAGTATAGTTGAAATATTTTAATGTGAGGGTATTACTATTTTATATTAAGATTCTTTTGATGGTTCTACACTACGTGGGGATTTTTGCTCTCATGTGGATGGATGGTTTAATAAGAAGATTTCAGTCATGTTTGGTTGATGATGAGTGGAGTGAAACGGAATTCCTATGGAACAATAGTGTTGATGCTCATTTTGACCTTTGTTTATTTAGACGGTCATTACCATCTGGTAAGCTTGCATTTTGTTTTCTGGTGGAGGCTTTACAGCTATCTCCGGATACAATCATTTCCAGGACTTTCATTGGTGGATGTGGTCATACTCTCCTCACTCTTTCTTTGCACACTTAAAATTTTACAATTTGTGGACTGTTTTTCTGCACATTATTTGGATATTGCATGCATTTATTAATGGTTATCACTACTTGAGCTTAACCTCTTGGCACAAGCCGCACGCAAATGTGTGGCCTCCCGGCTTCTGGGCCTTGATGCAGAGCAGCCGCACATTTGCGTGCAATTAAGAAAAACATATGTGCTGAGAGCGTACACCCTGCACGCTCTCAGAACTCATGTCCTGTACTCACGGAAAGGTCCCGATCTCCTCTTTCGTTCAAGATCTTTCCCGATCATGTGACCACTGTGACGGTGAATCACAGCAGTCACATGATCCTGAAACCCCACCCTGCCTCCCGGCTTCTGGAACCCTTAAAGGGCTGGGAGGCGCCGGCACCAAGGGGTTAAGTTATAATTGCTCACATTAGTCACCTATTGGCTTAGGTTTGAGGCTATAGGAATTAGTGCAGCATTTTTAAAATTACAATTGGTTTCTAGGCACAGATGCTATGCTCATTATGAGGGGCTCCCACCATTTTTTGCTGTATTATTTATTTATTGTAAATTTTAGGGAATGTTACAGGAGGAGCTGAAACGTACAAAGGTGAGTGTGAGCACCCAAAGACAGGTAGAATAAAGGCAGGTAGATTTTTCTAATGGGATATCCAAGACATAGAAGAAGTCAGGGGCTAAATCAGTCTACCAGGCCCCACCGGTAAAATAAAAAATACATTTTTATGCTGTTCTTTGCTTTTTGTTTATCTTGTTACAGTAGAGGTTCTACCTGTCCTGCAGGACAAATGTCATAAATGATACAGAAAAATAACAATTGCATGTATCCAAAATGGCTTTCACAGTCTTTTTTGTACTTTAAGTGTATACCTGGAGTCAGGGGCGGACTGACAACTCATGGGGGGCCCCCGGGCAATAGGGGATCATGGGGCCCCTGTGTCCTTGCCCAAACTCAAAAAAGCCTATGAAAAAGGTACCAGGGGCATCTCATGGGGCTCCCTACTGACCCTGGGCCCTCAGGCAGTGCCCGAGTTTCCAAATGGTCAGTCCGCCCCTGCCTGGAGTACTTCAGCTTAAATTTCATCCAGCCCTACATATGAGTTGGAATTTTTTAAACAGGTTGCAAACAGATTGGTCCGAAAGTGAAAAAACAAGGCTTCTTCTGTCTCAGCTAATCTTTTGTTTTGGTTGACTAAAATACTTAGACTTCAGCTATGACAATCTAACATAGCTCATGACAGTGAACTCTGCCGGTCCATGAAGCTGAGGATAAAAACGTTCTCTAGGTTGGATTGCTGGCTCCTGCATGACTATCCTGTGTGTGGCGTGTAACATTCTTAGCCCTCATGCACACTTGACATTTTTACAGCGGCTGTTTTTGGCTTTTGACTTTTTTTTCTCCAGCCAGTAAGCCCCCCAGCATGTTATCCTGTGTGTCCATCCCCGGCATGTTATCCTATGTGTCCATCCCCGGCATGTTATCCTATGTGTCCATCCCCGGCATGTTATCCTGTGTGTCCATCCCCGGCATGTTATCCTATGTGTTCATCCCCGGCATGTTATCCTATGTGTCCATCCCCGGCATGTTATCCTGTGTGTCCATCCCCGGCATGTTATCCTATGTGTCCATCCCCGGCATGTTATCCTGTGTGTCCATCCCCGGCATGTTATCCTGTGTGTCCATCCCCGGCATGTTATCCTATGTGTCCATCCCCGGCATGTTATCCTGTGTGTCCATCCCCGGCATGTTATCCTATGTGTCCATCCCCGGCATGTTATCCTATGTGTCCATCCCCGGCATGTTATCCTATGTGTCCATCCCCAGCATGTTATCCTATGTGTCCATCCCCGGCATGTTCTCCTATGTGTCCATCCCCGGCATGTTATCCTGTGTGTCCATCCCCGGCGTGTTATCCTACGTGTCCATCCCCGGCATGTTCTCCTATGTGTCCATCCCCGGCATGTTATCCTGTGTGTCCATCCCCGGTGTGTTATCCTACGTGTCCATCCCCGGCATGTTCTCCTATGTGTCCATCCCCGGCATGTTATCCTATGTGTCCATCCCCGGCATGTTATCCTATGTGTCCATCTCCAGCATGTTATCCTATGTGTTCATCCCCGGCATGTTATCCTATGTGTTCATCCCTGGCATGTTATCCTACGTGTCCATGCACACATAGACTGGAATCAATGTTTTTTTGGCTAAAAACCCCCAAAACTAGTGGGTTTTTAGAGGAGTTTTTTCAGCTGTAAAAATGCTCTAATGCTGCAAAACACAGTAAAGCGCTGCAAACCAGCTTTTTGGACTTTTTTGACCCAAAATAAACGCTAATGCAAAAACGCTAAAAAAAGTTGAAAAACCTACTTTTTAACCACTTGCCATCTGCCTGCTGTTTATAAACGGCAGGGCGGTGGCACTCCAGGGGCGGGTTGCCGTTCATAAACGGCAGCCGCCTTTTCTAGCAGTGCGCGCTCCCTGCAATCCGGTGCCCGCTGTGTCCTCCGGACACAGTGAAACACCGATCGTCGGACAGGACCTCTGTACGAGGTCCCGATCATGTGATCACTGATTGGCCAATCAGTGATCACATGCAAAGTAGTAAGCAAGATGTCACCTGTGACATCATTGCTTACTACGTGTGAAATCTGTGAATGATCACAGAGGTCACATGGTACAAGGCTATTCACAACAGCATTGTACCATGTGACAAGGTGTGACCAATCACAGCTCACTCAGTATTACTCAATGACTGCAAGAATGCAGACAGAGAGAAAGAAAGAGAAATGATTGCTTTTATATCCTATATGGGTGTAAAAGCAATCACTGTAAAAAAAAAAAAAAAATCATCACCCCCCACAAGTAGTACAGTGTCACCATGGTGACACTGTACTGCTAGGGTGACAGTATGTAAAAAAAAAACAAAAAACCCCCCATAAATAATAATATAAAAAAATTAAATAAAAATGTAAAAAAAAAGTTTTTAAAAATTATAATTTTTGGTTATAAACTAATTTGGCTTATTTTGTTTTTACTAAAAATATAATGGAATACATTTTGGCCAAGATTTATGATGAAAGATTATTTATTTGCAAAATTTTATAAGAAAAACACTTTTTTTCAAAATTTTTGGACTTTTTCATTTACATAGGAAAAAAAAATAAAAATCCCAGCGGTGAATAAATACCACAACAATAAAGCTTTATCTGTCTCAAAAAAATGGTAAAAAAATTCATATAGGTACAGTGTTGCATGACCACGCAATTGTCATTCAAAGTGTGATAGCGCTGAAAGCTAAAAATTGCCCTGGACAGGAAGGGGGTAAAAGTGTCCGGACTGGAAGGGGATGAAAGTGTCCGGACTGGAAGGGGATGAAAGTGTCCGGACTGGAAGGGGATGAAAGTGTCCGGACTGGAAGGGGGGGAAAGTGTCCGGACTGGAAGGGGATGAAAGTGTCCGGACTGGAAGGGGATGAAAGTGTCCGGACTGGAAGGGGATGAAAGTGTCCGGACTGGAAGTGGTTAACGTGACTTTACACAGCTAAGGTTACCAGTGTTAGGAGAATGTCAAGTGTGCATGAGGACTTACAATTCCAGTATATGCATCTCTGAAGGTCTCCAGTAATGTGAACCTGTTCCTTTGCCTGGTCAAGGCATTTATCAATCCATGTACACTGATGGCTAGAGTTTTCTGGAAGCAACCTTGGTTTCTGTCCAAAGCTCCTTGTGCAAGGAAAGGAGTGTGTTGGTGTGAGTATGAGGGGGGAGTCCAAGGAAGTGGTAAAAATGGCCATCAGAGAGATGATCCATATCCATATACAGGTGGCCTTGTTTTTAGATCAGTGTTTCTCAACCTTTTTCCAATCGGGGCACCCTTGAAAAGTATTTTCGGTCTTGAGGCACCCTAGTCTAACTCTTGGTTCACATTAGTGCGTGTTGGGGAACGCGTGAAAAATCATATGTGTTCCCGACACACAGACATGCTGATCCTTAGCAGATGTTCAAAGGTGCCATTAATTCTTAATGATACTTCCATACACTGGCAAATTTGATGATTTTTTTTTTTTTGGTGCAGCATGATTTTTAATAAAGGGTTGGTGACTTCTGCGTTTCTGTGGGTAGGGAAGCCCATTGGAATGAATAGGGTGCCCAATATGCTCTCACATCGATGTGAACAAAGGGCTCGATCACACATGATATTAGGAACAGTAAAACCCAGGGGTCGAGCAGCATTTTTACTACCCCATCTGCTCCTCCTTAGCATCCATGTTCATATACATGCTGTGGCCACGGCAAGAAGTACATCCCCAGGTGAAGGGAACCACACTGCAACTTCCTCGCAACCATGTGCACAGTCAAATTCCTCTAAAAAGCAATCCATCGAGTATCGCTTTTTAGAGAAGTGCCAGTTCTT